TATTTTCTGTCGCCCTTTTTCCTTCGGGGAAGAATAGCTGAAATTTGACCCTGTGACGCTTTTTATTATAAAATCGATACTTCGATAAATAATGAAAATTGTTAATTAAAAATCGCGCGATTTTTTTATGAAAAATTTTCGACCGCGGCGCTTTTTATTATAAAATCGATACTTCAATAAATAATAAAAATTCATTATTTATTTCATTATTTATCGAAGTATCGATTTTATAATAAAAAGCCAGCAGGGGAAAATTTTGAATCAAAAACGAAAATGATATGGTTTATAGTTGTATTTTATACATTTGCTCTTACTGTCGGCGATTGTTATTTCTGTTTGTTTGTGAAAAATGGTAAAACGAGTGAACGGATTTATAAGCGCGTTTTACTTAATTAATTGATGAATATATATATATTAAAAGTATAAAATACGCACGTGAACATTGAAGATATTGTATATCAACCAAAATCAATTGATAAGTGGCATTTTGTACAAAAATTTGGGGTGTTAGTGAAGATTATTTAACAACAAATTGCTTAAATACTATTAGCAACTACTTTGTGAGAGTGATATATTCATGTAGAGAAAGCCTACCCCAACATCCTGACCAAGTTTCATGTCTAAATTCCATATACTTTCGCTGAAATTTCGATTGGTTCCGTTTTGGAAAGCCAACCCTATGAATTCATTTATTTAAAAAAGGTTTCAAGTTGCTCAAATATCTGGTTGATTTTTGACAATTTTTTTGCTAACAGTGTCACGAATTTTCTTCCATATAAAAACGACCTTCTTTGTATATAAAAAAATGCGTGACACTGTTTATTATACTAAAATTTAATGGACTATAAAATTGCATACCAAACATTTTTCTCAAAATTCTGATTCCAAAGTTTGAAACAAGGCGAATATATATAAGGTGGTATCGATTCAACAAATACAACAATTACTTGTATTTTGTTTTTGCTTTTAGCGGGCCATTGTCAAATTTCAGCTATTCTTCCCCGAAGGAAAAAGGGCGACAGAAAATACAAACGCTCTCACGTTTTCACTCACTCACTAGCGAAATACAATATTTCGACAATCAAACGATACTCACAGCTGATGAAACAACACCACCTTATATAAATTCGCCTTGGTTTGAAATTTTGGTGAAACTGTGAGGAATTTTATTAATTGTGGCACAAAGTTTGAAATTGGGATTTACATGGTTTTCGTTAGACCGATGCCTTGTTAACGATCAGTGATAGAGTACTACCAAATGCGATTGTCAAAATGCAAGAAGATCTTAATTCTTTGTATCAATGGCTGTGTTCAAATAAACTCAAACTGAATGTGAAAAAGACTAACTTTATGGTATTTTCCAGAGCGGCAAATGCTGACTCCATAAGCCGTGAATTAAAAATCAAAGATGAAAATATCGAAGAGGTGAAATGTGTCAAGTACCTCGGAATATACATATACTACGTTTATACGCACGTATTATTTGCAAATAACAATTTGCAAAATGGTAAACTTTGCCGTGTAAACGCTAAGTTAATTTTTGATTTGCAAATAACTAAATCACGCAAATAAGTATTGATTAGTATTTGCAAATAAGCGCAAGACGCCGCCATTCTTAGGTTTATTTTCTTTTCCGATGGTCATATTATTGCCGTTTTATAATCAGGCAATATTAAAAAAGAATTTTTCACCATCCAATAAACAGTGAGTTAGGTATTTGCAAATTATTTTCATTTGCAAATAGCTTATGTACAAACGTAGTAATTGCCAACAAACTAAAGTTTGATGAGCACGTGGAGTATGCAGTCAACAAGATTGCTAAAAAATTGGCGTTATAAAGAGATCGTGTAAGTACTTGGGAAGAAGATATAAAACATTGGTTTACAGGTCAATAGTAGAACCGCACTTTATATAGTGACCATTTTCTTCCTATCGGGGGTGTTTAGTATTAAGTCACATCAACGGCTGATGTATCGTGTGACCCCATGTTAAGGGTTGCAAGATGGCATCACCACATCAATATTTCGATTTGTAGTTATCGATTCTAGCTCTGGCTTGTTATCTCAAATAAAGGGACTTTTTTTTTCTCCACGTTGCTTCCGGAAGTTTGGTTATCTTTTATTTTCTTGCTACATTTTTGGTGCCTCCTGTGAGGACCTTACTTAGGTAAATTGTTAATTCGATATGGCTGAATTAAACCTACGTTTGGCGGCGAGCAATGCCATCCAAAAATCAGCAGAGAGAATAAGACTCAATGGCAAAAGCTGGGACACGTGTCAATTAGAGCAGGAGCTGGCTGCCCTACGGTCCTACTTCACGAAAGGTTAATCATGACAAATTGGTTGCGATTGCCACCAAGGAGGAATTCGCTCTGCACGAAGATCTGTGGGATAAGGTAGAGGGCATCTACAATGAGGCAGTGGCATTGGTCTCGCGTCAATTGAAAGAAGCCACTTCATCGCCGCCCGCCTCATCGGTACAGGTTAGGGAGCAGCCGCAGCCGCAGTTTCAATTGAAATTGGATCCATTGGTGGTTCCCAGTTTCGATGGCCAACTACATAATTGGCTAGCATTCAGAGACTTATTCGAGTCGTTAATACACAAACAGCAATATCCCGAAGCTTACAAGTTGGCAAAGTTACGGCAAGCCATTCCAGTGGAATCGGTGCCCCTAATTGGCAGTCATTACTCCGGTGGGTATGAGGAGGTCTGGAAGGCCTTGAACGACAGGTATAATAGCCGGCGGCACTTAGCCGAAGCCCATGTAACTCGGTAGCTCAATATGAAGCCTACTACAGAAGACAGTCAAAAGGCATTGTTGTCCGTTGTCGACCAGGTTAGAGAGTCTCTACGAGCATTGCAGGTCATGGAGCTACCGGTAAATAGTTGGGACGCCATTATGGTGCCAATTGTGGTATCGAAGGTGCCCACCATGGTGCAGCGGCACTGGAATATGAGCCTTACAACAGCGGACATTCCCAACTTAGAAGACTTGCTCAAATTTTTGGAAAAACGCGCTCATAGCCTGGCTTGTGATGGTGGGGCAAACTTTCCCATTGCGACAGCTGGAGCTGGGCATTCAGATGCACGAAAAAAATCTCGGGCCCTACAAACTCATCTTGTCAGAACAGAAGAGGGGCAATGCATTAGTTGCGGGGGCGAGCATCGCGTCATGCGCTGTCCTTCGTTGTTAGCTTTGGGAGCAGAAGAGCGCTTCAAGGCATTGAAAACTTCTAACCTGTGTTTTAATTTGTTTGTATGATAAAACAGTGTCCTTCAGGTGGGTGTCGGCGATGCGGCCGAAAGCACAACACCATTTTTTGCCGTGCGGAACATAATCAAATTGAAGCAGCGACATCGGGCAGCCCATCACCGCGTAACATGGTACCCTCTGAACAATCAACACTCGCTAGTAATTTGGTTTCTTGCTTAACACATGGTCAACCTATGGTTCTGTTGGCAACGGCAAGTGTCTATGCGATCGGCACGTCCTCCATTCGGCGCATCGCCCGCATTCTCTGCGATCCTGGTTCGCAGGTAAGTTTTGTAACGGAGAAATTAGCAAATCAGCTGCAATTACGTAGACGCAAACACAATGTGGCGGTGGAAGGTATTGGCGCAGCCGCTCATACTCACACTTCAGGTGGCGCCAAGCTAACGTTACAGTCACACTCCTCAGACTTTGCATTGATCATCAATGTGCTGATAATTCCTTCGATCACGTCCCTTACTCCTGGCGTACCGGTTGCGACATCGTCATGGAAACATTTACATGGTCTCCCACTTGCAGATCCACACTTTGGTACACCAGGCCCAGTGGATATTCTTCTCGGCGCTGATGTTTGGGGTCTAACTGTGGAGGCTGGTATCGTTAGGAGGCCTACAGACCAACCACACGCACAACGCACCAGTCTCGGTTGGGTGGGGTTTGGGCCGGCCAACGGAGGCTCTTCAACTACACATCGACCTCAATCACTTCATGCTAAGATTTGTGACTCGGAGGTATCCTTGGAAGAGCTTGTCCGTTATTTTTGGAAATGGGAGGAACTACCCTCAAACACAGCTGTCACCGAAGACGACGAGTGTGAGCAATTTTTTGCGATGACACATACCCGTACAGCGGAAGGGCGGTATGTAGTCCAGCTCCCTTTCCATAAAAGTGTAGACTTGGGCGATTCTTATACGCAGGCTTTACAGCAGTTTCTTAGAATTGAGCGGAGACTGGCCGGTGATGACGAGCTTCATTCCAAGTATACCGATTTCATGCGCGAGTATGCCGCCTTGGGGCATATGGAGCGAGTCGCCAATGAGGAACGAACGGCCGCCGAGTACTACATACCCCATCATGCTGTTCTGGCAAAGTTCCGTGTAGTATTTAATGCTTCAGCTCGTACTCCCACAGGCGTCTCCCTGAACGATGTGCTGATGGTTGGGCCAACCATTCAGGACCCCTTGGTCCATATTCTCTTTAGATTCCGACTGTACCGGGTAGCACTTATAGCGGATATTGAGAAAATGTTCCGGCAGGTGGAAGTCGATGCAGTGCACCGTAATTACCAACGCATTCTTTGGCGTGATACTCCAACCGCACCGGTTGGAATTTATCGGCTGAAGACAGTTACATATGGTATGGCGTGTAGTCCGCGCTCTCCACCAATGTGCACATGACAACATTGGTCTCATAATGGATCAGCAAATGGCCACCGATGGCAGAAACGCCATTCTAACGTCCTTCTGTGTGGATGACTTTTTAATCAGCTTCGATTCTTGTTCTGAAGCGGTAACTGTGGCGCGTAATGTGAATACCATCTTGGCTGCCGGTAAATTCAAGCTATGCAAGTGGAACTCCAATGTGGCCGCCGTAATGAACAGTTTGGCGGAAGACGACAAACCACAGAGCGAACGGGTCATCGGAAACCGGGATACTACGGTCCTTGGCTTGCGTTGGGATACATTGTCGGATGAATTCGTTTTCGGGCTTCAATTTCCACCGCGAACCGGCGCCATAACGAAGCGCAGGNAATACCATCTTGGCTGCCGGTAAATTCAAGCTATGCAAGTGGAACTCCAATGTGGCCGCCGTAATGAACAGTTTGGCGG